AATCCACTCACCTCAGCCTCCCAAAGGTGTGGGATTACAGGCTGAGGCACCGAGCCTGGCCAAATTACCTTTTTAAAAGTTTATTTCTGGCAGGGTCTCAGTGGCTCAGCCTGTCATCCCAGCACTTTGGGAAGCCAAGGTGAGTGGATTGCCTGAGTCCGCGGGTTTGAGACCAGCCCGGGCAACTTGGCGAGACCTTGTCTCTACAATAAAATTAAAAATAGCCAGGCATGGTAGCGCGCATCTGTAGTTCCATCTACTCGGAAGGCTGAGGCAGAAGGATCACTGAAGCCCAGCAGGTTGACACTGGGGTGGCCGTGAGCATGCATGCCACTGCACTCCAGCCTGGGCAAAGGAGTGAGACTCCAACTCAAAAAAAAAAGTTTATTTCTGATTTTTATTCTGTAAATGACACATCCTATAACATTACATTTGGATACACTAACTACTTTCATTGTAGCTCCAAAATATAAGTTGTGTGTTTGAATTCTTTCATCGTAAGCAACAGAATCTAACTGCAAGCTGGGCATGGTGGCTCATACCTGTAATCCAAGTGCTTTGGGAGGCTGAGGTGGGAGGATTGCTTGAGGGCAGGAGTTTGCAACCAGCCTGGGCTTTGGGAGGCCTGCCCCTGCAAAGAGATTTAGGGGGTCCCTTGGAAGGTGTGGTGGCATCAGCGATTCTGTAGGGATAGATATTAAAAGAAAGAAAGAGACTGGGGGAGAAAGAAAGAAACTGGACTCTGTCTAGTGCAGAAGCCATATATTGGGAGTTACAGCGTGTATTTATCCCCAAATTTTACACAGGCAGTCTTAGAAGTCTTTCACGTGAACACAAAGCCAGGTGCAGGAGGGGCGTCCCCCCCACCCATCAGGTGTTTCTTCAGGCATGAGGAAGAACAATCCCAATTAAATCACAACACTTTTACATGAACACAAAGCCAGGTGAATGAGGGGCATCCCTCGCCCACCTCCTCCTCCAGGTGTTTCCTGGAGTATGAGGAAGAACAATCCCAATTAAATTACAAAACATTTGCATGAACATAGAGCCAGGTGGATGGGGGGGGGGGCATCCCCCACCCACCAGGTGTTTCCCCAAG